TTTCTATCCAACAGAAACATATAGTCAATCATAGCACAGTGACTGTCAAAATACTAACAGTTGATGGCTTTACAAAAACTGCATAACTTGTCATGTTTCAGTTATACCTGCATATAATAGACAATATAAAAATCCATAGTTTTTTTGTAATTTAGCCTTCAGTTTACCTTCAACTGAAACCAACTTTTCATTTGTAAGTGTTGAATGTGTTCATTCTTGGCAACATACTATCTAAAACTGAATGAGTCATTACTTTATAGAATGTACAATAGAAAAAAAATAGGGTCCCCTATGCAGAAATTCAATTGGAACCTTGAATGAAATTGCTTTCCAGTGGGTGGGGGTTGGATGTGGATGGTGCCTCCATGGTAGCTGATGCCAGTGGTCAACAACAATTCCAACATACATGGCCTTTGGTTCCTATGCAAGCTTGTTTCCGCCACTGAATAAAAAAAAAAAAAGTAAAAACAGTAACTGTGACCTTTATATCTCATAATTCGGACTTCTATTATTGGAATTGCAAGATTGTGAGATACTGTAAATTCACAATTGCAAGAAAAAAGTCAGAATTCTGAGATAGTCACAATTACCCTTATCCTTTATATTCAAATGGCAGAAATAAGCTTTCATAGGTTCCACATGTGGGAAAAAACAAACAAATAAACAAACATAAAAATGCACTGTCCAACACACAGTCTCACTTCTCTCCCATACCTCTTCTCTGATCCAACTACTTCTATACCTCATATCACTATTCCTCTCCCTCTCCCAGGCATTATTTTTCTCTCTCTCTGATTCTTTGTCTTGTTCTGCATCCACAAAACCAATTCAAATAGGTATTTTTTACTCTATGTTGATGTAATGGAAAGAGCTTCAACACCAGACTATTCTTCCAACTGAGACTGGAATCAGCTATTTCTATGATCTGTTGCTTAAAAATGCGGTAACACTTTCTTTGTCAACTTATTCTACTAACCCTAAACCTATCCTAACAGTCTACTCTGAGAGTTAGTAGACATGTAGATGCAGATTAATGAGAATTAGTTGACATGTAGTTACAAAGTTACTTATAGTTAGTAGAATGTCTAAAGTGGACTATCGAAATAAAGTGTAACCAAAAATGCTTATCAGTTGTTACAATATTTTATATAGAGAGATTTTTTTTATACTTTTGAGCTGCTACTGTTGTTGCAGAACTAGAGGCTTTACACTATATTTAAAGTTTGGAACTTTAGGTCTTCATTTCTGTCATGCTGTGTTTAAGCATTTGTAAAAAAAAAAAAATAAAAAAAAAGATGGGGGGGGGGGGGGGGGGGGGGGGGGGAGGGGGGCCTTTATTGTCCCAATGCATCCATTTAATAATTTTAATGAAAATTATAATTTAAACTCAATACGTTATTATTACACACTGTTTTAAAATGTACTACAATACTGAAGTGCAGATAATCATGTCATGGTCATGCAGAATATGTGCTTTATAAGTACTAATAAAAAGCCAAAATGCTAATGCTAATAATGCTAATAAGCAACTAGTTAATAGTGAGAATTGGTCCCTATACTAATGTGTTATCCAAACAATATATCTCTTGTTCACAGCGATAACAAATTTGTTTAAAGTTATAAGTTGCAAGTTTTAAAAAAATGATCGCACAAGCTATATTTATATAACTTATATTATATAAGTTATATTGATAAGTTAACTCTACTTTCTGGAATACGGCCTGGAGAACGCTATCTGTCATTGATCTCAGTGGCTCAGGTACCATGTGACTAAGGGCATGAAGGAATGAGACTTTAAGGTGTGTTGTCATTACAAAGTGGAAAAGCAACTTGCAAATAAAAGGACAGGCAGCTGAGAATGCACAATATTTGCAAGGCTGTTAAGTGTTAGCTACTTTGTAGCTACACATACAAAATACATAACCATAACCATGCTGCTGTGTACAGTATAGACACTAATATGTGAGTATGTGAGTCCCTGAATGTGAGCCCTATGCGCTCCCATGAAAGTGATGTGGAGTGTGACAAAATAAGAGGGGAGGGTCTCATTGAAATCCAACCACAAGTGTTCACAGGAGACGCATTTGAAACGCATGTTCATATCGGGTGGAAACAGTAATGCGTCTTGGCGGAACACTTGTGATTAGGTCAACACAATCGCATTTTAATATCAGCTGGAAACAGAGTCTCAGGTGTTGGACGCTGCCTGGTTTCACCACATCAGGGACAATGAAGTTGTATGTTTTAGACAAGTGGGAACTTTAATGTGGAGAGAAGGGGTTGGTAGTTGACCGGGATTGACCTGGCATCATAGCAGCATCTTAGCTGAATTATTTATGAACTAGGCTTTTACATTTTCATAAAAAGCTGAATGGTGCTTGCCTATTCAAAAATGATTTGAGGAGTTTCTATAATGTTCTATAATGTTTGGTGGGGTTTGGGGGCTCCAACAATTTAAACGTATCATAAAAGTGCAAGACAGTACAGTACAATACAATAGTTTTGTTTGAGAAACTAAATGAAATGTAAACTCTTATTTGCTCAAAGTAATGGTTTTACACTTCCAACATGCTTACTGTATATTCAAATGCATTGTTTAAAGATGCATTGTAACAGGTTTAACATCTGTGACATCAAATGTTGCTATCATTGCCAATCATCATGGATGAACATGGCATGGTGCATCTTGACCAAGTGTATCTACATTAAGTGTACAAGAATACATTTCTTTAAACACGTCTGCTGGAGGGAAAAATATCAGTTCTGTTTAGTTCCCAAATCAATTGTTAAAATCACTTCTCAGTCGAGTAGTAACTGAGCAGGACAAGTCATGAGTTTGAGAAAACAGTATGTTTAAAGTCTGCCAAGATTGGGCCGGACAATTCCTCCGCTTCAATTCCTCCGCTCCGTCTTCTCTCTGGAGATCAGCTGTACCGTCCACAGGTACCAGTCGATTACAGGCAGCAGCAAGTGTGTGTGGATGATGAGGTGGAGGATGAAGAACTTCCTGCCAGGCTTTGTGCAAATCAGCCCAAGTTTGGATAGGAGTTGTGGAGTGATAAGTGCACCTCCAGGAAGATTCATATTGCCTCTCGTCTGGTGGATACTGCTCCACTAGATACATTATAAATCATTTACAGAGTCATTTTGGAATGCAATATCTGCTACTAAACTCCGGCTTTTCTCCTTGTTATTATTCCAAGCCCTCCGAGGGATGGAGGTCTGAGGGTCTTAAGCTTTAAAAATTGAAAATTGATCAGTAGCTGAGCAGAGAAGATTTTCTCTCCACTGGGGACGACCCTCCTCATCATTAGCATTTACAGTGTTAGCACAGGCACCCGCGAGCCACTTACAAATACCAGCTTTCCAGAGATGGGGACAGGGGACCTGTGCCTGAAAAATCTTTTATTTAACACATTTCTGTCAAATTTGGACAGAGATGTTGATATTTTGGCTTGATGGGAAACCCTCATACAGTAAGTTTTATTTACTGATTGAGTAGCTCTCAACTGGTTTTGGTTTAGGCCATAAACATGGTACCAAAATAGTTTATTGTACAAAAGAAATAAAATGACCTTAAAAATCAAACGTTTAAATGCATAAATATTACTAAGAGCACTATCAGCTTAACAGTAACAAGTCCATTGCCTAGTAATTAGTTCAAGATTTTCTTTGTTGTTTAAATATTTGGTTGGCACAAATGTAGTCTGGGTTTTATTTTTCTATACCTTGCATAGATTTGTTTCTGGAACTTGAAGATGAGAGAATGTCACAGTCTGGCTGCGTCCGAAAACTTAGGCAGCTGACTTGTTGCCTCGCTGCCTTATCAGGCAATGACTTTAGAGGCAGCGTTTGTACGAAGAAGGTACCTCACAAAACTGATTTCAGACAGACTTCTGCGGCAGCATAACGGTTTAATAAAATACAACAAAAGAGAGAGAGCTAAGCAAATATTTAATTTCTAAAATGCAAATTTCTCCCTAGTAAAGAAAATGTATTGTAATTTATACACAAACTAACCACCAGCCACCAATTTCACTTTTTAGCTCACATAATCAAAAGCACAGGATATCATAGGCAGTGAAGGACACATCTATATCTGAGATGGTATCTCAGTTGATAGGATGTGACACGATCATTGGATTGATGTGTCTTGTTACCTTCAGATTTCAGACGCAGCCACTTTCCATGATCGCATCTGCCTAATTTAGCTACCGGCTAATTTTAACCAAATAACTGATGAACCAAAATACTGTCGAGTTTAATTGAACACACATGCTTTGACATCAGTGGGGTGCAGTTACTATTTTGCTATCCTAACTATGCAGAATTAAATGGTTAGTTGCATTTTATGTTTATCCTTTACAATCTTATCAGTTATGATCCGCCATTTGTGAACCACCCAGTTTCTGGAGAGTGTCGGGATGTTTAAATCAACCTGCAGTAGAGCTTTTATTTGCATGAGTTGTGCAGGCCTTTGGATGCATTAAGAGCACTGTCATATTTATGTGTTCAGTTCTATGTGCATAAAGGAAAAAAAAAAACAATTTCCCATTTAAAATGTTCCTGTCTTCTTTTTTTTTCCTGCAGGAAAGAGGATCTGATGAGAATACTGTACAGCGAATGAGGATTCTTCCGGAGAGGAACGGAGCGGCGCTTGTATGTGTTTTTCTTCAATGACAGGAGTAATCCGGCTGAGTTTGAGGGTCTAAAGGCAGGAGACACTTGCTGGAGGAGTTTCTCGGCGTACATCGGCACCAAGCAGCAGCGGCCATTTTCACGGACCATGTGGTTAGCGGTGTGCAAAAACCGTCTCGTTTTGCACCAGCAGGACAGCTGCAGTGGCAGGGCTCACAATGTGTCTCTGTGGATATGGATTTTTTGTTGGTGTGTGACGCTCGTCAGGGGTCAAAGCTACCACCCCACCGTGAATACGCAGTATGGGAAATTACGAGGTGCACGGGTTCCTCTGCCCAGCGAGATCCTGGGACCAGTGGACCAGTACCTTGGCGTGCCATACGCTGCCCCACCGGTGGGGGAGAAACGCTTCCTTCCCCCTGAGCCGCCCCTGTCTTGGTCGGGGATCAAGAACGCCACTCATTTCGCACCGGTGTGCCCGCAAAACATTCACAACGCCGTTCCGGAGATCATGATGCCAATCTGGTTCACCTTTAACTTGGATATAGTTGCCACTTACATTCAAGATCAAAACGAGGATTGTTTGTATCTAAACATCTATGTTCCAACAGAGGATGGTGAGTGTGTCGGGTATAACAAAGAAAAAATAGCATCTCTCTATTACATTCTGTCACTTCCTGTGTTGTGTTTGAAGCATGAGTTGTTGTCCGGCGCATGCTGTGTCTGTGTTCATTATTTCCATTCCTCATCCTGACTTGATCTGCCATGAAGTCTTTCCATCAACTCTTCCCTTCCATGCCACTGTTACGGGTTCCTCTTTTGTGTTGTTCAAGAGAGCAAACCAAAAAGAAAGAAAGAAAGAAAGCTAGAAGAAAGTAATAATTTTAATGTAAGAGCTCAGATTCTAATCTGACATGAAGTTTGGATGTAATGATCTTGGTGCACCTCCCTCTCCTCACTGTCTTGACTGTTCTGGGGGATTAGCGATCCGAGATTAGCTTGCTTGATGCCAGAATGAGCCTTTTGTAGAGTTGCAAAAATGTTCTGGAACACAAGAGGCTTGTGGCATCCGTCCTAACCATATAAGACCCTTTACTGTCCCACTTTTTTCTGTTAACGTTCGAAACCCATCTTGAGAAACTTAAAGGGTTAGTTCACCCAAAAATGAAAATTAGCCCATAAATTACTCACCCTCAAGTCATCCTAGGTGTATATGACTTTCTTCTTTCAGACGAATCCAGTCGGAGTTATATTAAAAATTGTCTTTGATCTTCCACGCTGTTTAATGGCAGTCAGTGGGTGTTGCAGTGCTTCAGTCCAAAATAAGTGGGGGAAAAAAGCCATCCATAATAAAAAGTGCCTCACACGGCTCCGGGGGGTGAACAAAGTCCTCCTGTAGCGAATTGATGCGTTTTTGTAAGAACAATATCCATATTCAAAACGTAATAATCACTTTAATGTAGCTTGCGCCAACAGTTGTACACGAAAGCAGCTCCGGGAGGATGACGTATGAGGTTAGCTTTGCGCATGCACCACTCAGAAGCGCAGGGGAGAGATCAAAACAAAACAACGGTCACTTATTAGAAGTACAAAACGAGGATTTGTAAAGAAGAATGTCGGATAATTTGGATATAAGCCAAGAGGAGACTGGTTTTCCTTTGCTCTTGTTAACAAACGTTGGTTTTCCCGAGACACACCGGCACAACGCTGAACTCATACGTCATCAGCCCGGAGCTGCTTCCGTGTACAACTGTTGGCGCAAGCTACATTAAAGTGATTATTATGTTTTGAATATGTATATTTTTCTTACAAAAATGCATTGATTCGCTACGTGAGGCCTTTGTTCACCCTCCGGAGCCGTGTGAGACACTTTTTTTTATGGATGGGCGATTTTTATTTAACTTCTTTTGGACTGATGCATGCAACACCCGCTGAGTGGCATTAAAATATCACCCCAGCAGAAAGAGCCTCTTACAAACTCATACAGATTTGAAAGCAAAAAGTGCTAGCTCTGTTCCAAAACCTAGTGAGCTGCCTTCTAAAGACTCTTGCATGCTAGAGTAAGCTAGAAGACTTTGAAGGAAAACAGAGACTTTGATGCTCGGAATGCATACAATTCCTTATGAAGGCATGGAAAGAGCAATATCAATTTAAAATAAAGTGGACGGGTGCAGAAAAACAATATTTTACTTGAAATTATCATTGGTCAATCGATGCCAGTGTCACAGTATGTCACAGCAAAGATTTTGTTTTTAAGTTGTTTAAAATTAGCATTTGCAGATTTCACCTCAGCTCCAAGATAAAATTCTCAAAATAGATGTTCTCAATCGGTACTAGCTGTAGTACCAAGTATCATTTGTGTTTCCATCGCTACCTGTTACCAGCTAATTTTTTATTATTGTTTTGTATCCAAGCAAAACAGAACTCTTAAAATATAACGATTACAGCATCTCTCAAAAAGTGGGGGGGATAAAAAATGGCTGACATTTCTAAAAATGGTTTACACAACCCCTGTTCCTTACTGAAATGCAGCCTCACAAGTGACTGATTTGGAACCTTCTACTATAAGCACACAAATGATGCTCCGCACATGAAGCTCATGGGGGACTTGGCAATTGATTTCAATTGAGTTTAACATTTTCAAGTTGCTAAGCTAATGACACAGTACTTTATTAAGTAAAATAAGGCCTAGTAGACACAAATATTGGACTGTTAAGGATATATTCATTGTTGAATTTTAATTTAGGCATAATTAGATAGCCAATAAGCCAGCATAATGTTATTGCCAGCAGGCCTCTGCTGCATGCAGTAAAATGCTGTCTAGGTAGGGCACTATAATTTGGAACAGACCTAATTGTCTAATCGAAAGCTACCTAAGCTATTTGGTGTTGAAATTCGTCTTAAGTCATAAATCCAAAAAGGACTTAAAGGTTGTAGAGCACACTTACAGCAATTCTCTGCATCTGTTCTCAAAGCATATTTGGTGCATTGTGCAACAGAGCCGTGCATTTCTCATGCAAAACCTGGAGTGATGCAGGGGTTGCGATAAGGAAGAGTTTATTTTGTGCTTGTAAAGGGTCTTATATAGCAGTGCATGTGAAACTAGGCTTCCTGTGTTCCAGGGTGCAGCAAATCAATTCCACCTTTTTGGGAATATTTTCTGCCCGAAGGACAAAACACCCCAGCTAACATTCTGGACAGGTTCTCTTTGTTGTTCTTGTGGGGAGGGGGAGTGACGTTGTTGCATGTTCTCCTCAAACGTTTCTTCCAGAGCCTTCTGTTATTTTGTAGTCTTTTATTCATTTTACAGTCAAAAGAATATCCAAGGAATGTGCCAGAAAACCCAACAAGAAAATATGTAAAAAAGGAGGTATGTAAGCAAGCCAACATTGGAGCAATATACAGAGAAGTGAGCGACTGGTACGTCCTCTCTCGTACCAACGGGATTTCTCCGTCAACTACAGAGTTTTGTGCGCAGAGCAACATTAAAAATGCCTGTATATTTCTTTCAACATTTTTTTGTGTGTGTGTGAAAATGTGCTATTTCAAATTGCTATACAGTGTGTATGTAGACATTGTCCAGTTATACTGGTGTACATAAGTCATTCTGGAGTCATTCTCATGAAACGGTGCCATTTGTGTTTGTATTTATCAATTTATTTACTTACTTATTTATATATTTTTGTCATTTCATTTGAAAAGGTTAATGGTATTTAAAAAATATTTTGTTACCTAATTCTGGCACACAAAAATGTGAATAACTAGTTATAATTATTTTAAAAATATGTTTGGTTTTCACATGTTCAACCCTGTTACATTCAACAACTTTAAAAATGCCACAGGTTGATGATCAGTGCAAAAAAAAAAAAAATTATAATAATAATAGTAATCACTTTTGACTTTTTTGACAATCATATGACGTTTTTGACCATGGAAAGTTCATACTATTATATTTAAATGGGCAAGCATCTTAGCAGAACATGGTTGAATAGAAAGTTAAAATTAAACATTAACATTTAATTCAATTGATTCTAGATATTATATGATAATAAATTATTCATAGATTGATTCACAATTTATTATTATTATTATACGATAAGTACAACACAAAATGTATATGTAATTTCGATGAATGAACATACAAATTGGCAGATTTTTTTGTGTATTTTTTTTAATACTAAAAAAAATATTTTTTTTGTTGCATTACACATGCAGAGTTAAGAGCTACAGAGTTAAGTCTCCAAAAAAATCAATTACTTTGACTTATTACTGTTAATGATACAGTATCTGTAGTAAGTCACTGGAACAATGATACCGTTTTCTGACAATGACCTACATTATATACTCAGTGCTGAACTCTTGTTTTAATTGACAGCACATCCAGTTTATTGAGCATTATGTCACTGATGTCATAACACAAAACATCATACAGTAAGATATGAGCCACTGGTGTCATACAGCTTGATATGTGTCAGAACATGTAATATCTTATGACATGAGTGATCGTGAGTGTTCCTGCAGTCACAATATGGAGTCTGTCATTACAGAAACTTCTGCACCAATGTCAAAATCAAGGCATTGTTTTAAACCGCCATAGTTACAACTAATGTAACGTGTTTAGACTAGCATATATACACCTCGAAGAAAACAAGTTAGGATTCCGTCGAGTCTTTGAACGCTACATGAAATAGTGTTTCACTTTATTTTTATATAGTTAGATGCAGGTTTTTATAGGAATAAAAACAATGCTTCTGAGAAAGCAAAAGGTTAATTGATTATGGCATTCAGAAAGCTGTTTTGTCAACACATCTCCTATAATTATGCATTAATAATTATAACCTTAAAAATACCAATATCAAACATACAATGAATGAATTGTATGAGTAAACATTTGCACTCAGTAAACAGTATTAATAATGACTTGACACAACTGAATTTGGCAATACATTCTTGTTGGAATTTATTGAATTTCATTAAAGAATGTTAAATTCAAAACAACTTGAGCTGTATAGGCAGCATCTGTGACTCGCTGTCAGTAAGCACAAAATAATTTAGACTCCAAATTTTTTTTATATATATACAGTATATATATATATATATATATATATATATATATATATATATATATATAAAACCTGAAAAATGAGTCTAAATTATTTTCATATCACAGATGATGTCTTGCTTGGCACTGGTAGTTTTATTACATTTCTTAACGTTAGCATTTTGAGGAGATTCGTTCTCAATACAGGGATGTTTATTAAAGCAACGCAACCTTCTCTAACCACTCAATTTGCATTTTTTAAGAAAACAAATTAACTTTATATTGTCTATGCATGTTTATATATGTGTATATATATATATATATATATATATATAATGGAACTGAGATGTTCCTCACAAAATATTTGCTCACTGGGACCCAAAACTATTGAATAACAAGCAGCTGGAGAAAACACACACACACACAAAGTTTTTTTTTTACTTCAAGAGATCAATGTTTTATATATATATATTAATATAACTATATAATATAACTGAAAATAAAAACATGTTCAACACATAAAATATAAAAACCTTTAAGGTGCCCTCATAATATTTTTTGTTTATGTTGCACTGC